CATTTAGGTTCGAGCAGACAAACACAGCAGTCCATTGTAGTAAGCGACTTAATCGATAACATCTAGATGCTGTTCGGATGACCAGAATATCTGTCTGGAGCTTAGACAGAGTTGATTCAATTATGTCATGGGGGCTCTCCATTGATGTTTTAAGGCTAGCGATAGCAGCTAATATGGCGTCAATGCTCGCAGAGTTTTTGGCTAAGGCGGCTTTCTGGCACCGTGCTATGTCTTTTTTAGGCCTATGTCGTCCAGTCTTTACCATAGTCGATGCAAAGCAGTACTGCTGTAGACTAGTTAAGTAAAGAAGTAGGGTGCAGCATTAATTGTTGAAAAACAGAAAGAAAAGTGCGGCGCTGTGAAGAGTACACCCCCCCCCGAGCACTTAAAAGATTGATTGGCTTCTTCAATTCTAAAACCAAATGGTGGAGAGTCTCAGGTATTTAATTCCTAGTGGGAGTTGTCCCTTAAGAGGATCTTTGACCCACTATTAATCATGTACCTCTCTACATTTGCCAAGGGGTGAAGAAGGACTGGTTTTCATGTGAAACGATTGTGAGCTCTTGCCTCAGCCTATCATGTAACTCATTGAGCTCACCTCATACAAGATGTGTGTGGGCATTAAAAGTCTTAAATGGAGCCTGGGAAGGGATCTAAAACTGCAGGCTAAATTTAAAGAGACTAGTTTAAAGATAGCCACAGCTGGGAACAAGAGAAATACTGAGTGTATATAAATAAGACTGGACTTAAGCACCAACAATAAAATTACATTTTTCTCCTAGCAATAGTTCCTTGGTCACTGACAATCCACTGAATAACAACCAGTCAGTGGCAGTGGATGAAAGATGGATAGAGGACAAGAAGAGATGGAGGGAGGAGAGCTGTGGGGTTGTTAAGAGTATCACAAATACTGCAATGTTCTGCAGACAGAGCTTATACTAATATTACCATTACATACCTTTACTGATTCGCTTCCCCAAGGAGAGAGAATACGCTCTGGTAAAACAAAGTGAATAGGCACTGAAGGCAGTTTCATCTGCAGGCTTTTCACAGTGCATTCTAACTTTTAAGCGTTATAAAGAAGGGAGCTAAAAGAAACCAGACCTGTCAGTGTGAGAACAGAAGGACTTTTAAACAGAGACCTTTAAACATTATAACTATAAGGTCTGTGTTGTCAAAAGTGCAATGTTTGTTCATGATAAGGACAAGGCTTTATTAGAATTCCACTGATACACAGCAAATTCAAAAGTGTTAAATGTTTTGGTGTTAATAGTCTTCTTGCAAAAGTAGAGTTAATTTTACTCTAAGTAGAGTCACATTCTTTTAATGTAACTCTGAGGTGTAAAATGACAGTAGTTAAAATCGAGTGTTAAAAATGAGTGTTTCTATGTCAAATCTGGAGGTGTTACAATGGAAACATTAACTCTTGACCTCTTAACTCTGAACTCCTACAGGGGCTATGACACCAACAGAGTAAATTCACAGACTCCGCCCCCAGCACGGCTCCAATCGAAGCTGAAGTGAAGCCGTTTCAGAACATTTTGCTCTACATATTTGAGTTGTTTGCCATGCTTGGTAAGTCATTTTTTCAAAGATTGTTTCAATTTTATTATGAGCTTTTACTTCTGTGGCTCTTTGGAGTTGAGACAAAGCTGTGTGAAAGGCATTAGCCATGTTGCTCGGTGATAGCATAATATTCTGTTTTAGCTAGCTGAAAGGTATTGTTTGCGGGCAAATACCACAGCCTTGAAAAAAAGCTTGCATGTGAATTTTCAGTCAAACTTTTGGTCAAATACACCTAAAACAATGTCTAGAATGTGAAATGTTGGTATAATGGTGCTACTTGAAGCCTGAAAACGATCGCCCATAAAAAAAACGAGCAAACAGCAGTAGCAGACGTCCTGACTGGATTCTACGTTAGCATAGATCCCTCCAGAGTTTTGTGCACACGGTTTAGGTAAAAATGAAAAAGGTTGAGGTTTTACATTTAGTTCAGTATTACCTGTTGCCTGTGTCTTGTCTTTTGGGAAAATACTTTACACAAGTAATGGCTCAAAGAGGATTCCTTTTTTTTTTACTGTGCTGCAATTGTTTACTGGATTATTTGTGCCATTAATTAGTGTCAACTAATTTTTATTCAATCTCCGCACAGGATATGCTTGTGAAGATGGAATATGGGGGAGAGCAGAAGTGCGTTGAAGTTCCACAAAGGGATTAATGAAGGACATGCATATTGTATTGAAGAAATAAGTGATGAGAATGCTGTTATTTGCATTTACCATGTCAGACCTTTTGATAAACAAAATTCTAATGAAAGTGAGAACATGTACACTGTTACATCTTTCAGAAAATGTTTTGAAATTGTGGTGCACAGTTCAGAATAAATGTTTTTCAAAAACCATTGCATCTTTTTAGTAAATGTTTATTTCCAAAAGAAATTTCTAGAAGTTCAGAACAGTAAAATTCCCGCTTTTTAGAATGAATTAGAAGATAACTCTTACGTAGTTAAACTAAAATACTCTTTGAGAGTTAATATATAAACTCTTAACACCAAGTGTTAAATTATCAACTCCAGACAGATTTGGTGTTTAACACTAAATCAGAGTTAACGTACCAACTCTCCAAAAAGAGTTAAATTAACACTCTCTGGTGTGGACCCATATAGACACTTTAATAGTGTTGAAATCAAATCCGACAGTGTTAATTTGGACATGCTGGATTTGCTGTGTAGTTTTCACTTGGATCGAAAAGACTGCATGAAGACCACATTTATAAAGGAGAATGCAATGTTGTTTATTTGTAAACGAAAATACTCAAAGATTTTGAGCAGAAAACTCATGCACAGTGTCTGTGTGGACATAAGAGATGCTGCTAACAATAAGGTGAACCTTGAGAAGTATACGGAGAGTGACAGACCTGCCATCACAGGGAATGGGCAGCGTTGGGCTGCAACTTCAACTTCAAAGACTGCCTGTACGTGTGTGAGTGAGGCAATTCCAGGAAGTCCTTTTTTGTTGGCCCGTCAGATCAGATTCAATGAAATCTTCTAAATGTCTCTTGCATGAATTTGTACACGTTCTGGCTAAACTCAGTGCAAAAGCTTTGGCATCTGTGAAACGTCTGTTTCATTGTTACAGACATCAGCTTTTTCAAAAAGCTCAAGCAGCTGGTGAGTCGTGAAACAATTTACCGTAATATGGTGACCAGTGTTGGTCAAGTTACTTAAAAATAGTAATTAGTTACTAATTGCTGATTACTTCTCCAAAAAAGTAATCCTGTTACTTTACTTAGTTTCAAAAGTAATTAGTTACTTTATTACTTAGTTACATGATACACAACCTGAATATGTAATAAAGCAATAGACCTTTCAGCCCAATTCTATTTTTTCTGTAAAATCCATCATATAAAATGGTCGCCTTGAGGCAACTTTTGTTGTGATTTGGCGCTATATAAATAAAATTGAATCAAATTGGAAAAGTCTCTTTTTGAAACTTTATGCACATTGCATTACGCAAAAATTTTATTATATGCAACAGTCTTTTGACTAATTTTGGAAAGCCCCGGGGCTTGAGAAAACACGGAAGGAAAGGCGGCGTGCATCAGCGTGTTTCAGTTTCAAGTTTTATTGTCATGTACAGTAAACAGTGTAGCCACATTTATCCATGATGAAATTCTTTGGCTCGTGCTCCTCAGCTTTACATGAGCATATAGAGAGTGTGCAGTTATATTGAGAAGAAAATAACAGAAAATAGCAGTGGTAGTAATAAAATAATAATAATAATAACAACAATAAAAAGTAGAGGAAAGAATATTAGAGAATTTAGTTGGTATTTACATTTAAGACAAGTTTGTATTTATAAGTTTGTGCAAGAGTATCTGCAGGTTATACAAAGTTGTGCAATGAGCATTTAAGTTGCATTTGTTGAAGTGACAGTGTGCAGAGTCCTGTAATTGTGGGTAAAAACTGTCCCTGTGTCTGGTAGTGCAGGTCTGGATGCTCCTGAACCGCCTGCCAGATGGCAGGAGTGTGAAAAGTGTGTGGCCGGGATCAGAGAGGATCCGCTGCCTCATGCAGCGCTGTCTGTAGAGATCCTGCATGGCTGCCAGTTCAGTCCTGGTGATGCGCTGCGCTGATCTCACCACCCTCTGCAGAGCATTACAGCTCCCGTACCGAGTGGTGATGCAGCCAGTCAGAATACTTTCAATCGTGCATTGATAGAAGTTTGTAAGTATTCTGGAGTTCATGCCGAATCTTCTCAGGCACTGCAGGAAGAAGAGCCGCTGTCTTGCTGCTTTTGTCATGACACCAACATGGTGTGACCAGCTCGGATCCTCGCTGATGTTGATGCCCAGGAATCTGAAGCAGCTGACTCTCTCCACCTCTGTTCCTTCGATGTGGATGGGGGTGTGGCCTCCTCTCTGCAGTCTCCTGTAATCCACGATGAGCTCCTTGGTTTTTCTGACGTTAAGCACCAGGTTGTTGTCGCGGCACAGTGATGTCAGGACCTTCACCTCTGCCCTGCATGCCGTCTCATCTCCATCAGAAATGCAGCCAATGATGGGGGTGTCGTCTGCAAATTTGATGATGGCGTTGTAGCTGTGTGTTGCTGTACAGTCGTGGGTGAACAGGGTGTACAGCAGGGGGCTGAGCACACATCCCTGGGGGGCACCTGTGCTACCCTGGGGGGCACCTGTGCTTGTAAGGAAACTTCGGAGGAAGAATCGTGTTCCTCTGCCTTCAACATCCAATTTCTTAGAAACAAAACGGATGAATTACAAGGGAACATGCTTCATCTACGGCAGGGGTCCCCAATCCCAGTCCACGACGGCCGGTGTCCCCGCAGGTTTTAGATGTGTCCTTGATCCATCACAGCTGATTTAAATGGATAAATTACCTTCTCAAAATGTCTTGAAGTTCTCCAGAGGCCTGGTAATAAACTAATCATGTGATTCAGGTGTGTTGACCCAGGGTGAGATCTAAAACCCGGGACACCGGGTCTCGTGGACTGGGATTGGGGACCCCTGATCTACGGGAATGCAGGGAGGCTTGCCTGATGGCGCTTACTGAGACGTTGCTGACCGATATGGACAGTGACACTTCACTGCGAATCAGCGGCTTTGGGACCCCTGTCAGATTGGATTAGAACTGGAGTAACACGCAAATCTCACAGAGGAGGGGTATGTTTGTATATCAACCAGGGCTGGTGTAATAATTTTACTGTGCGGGAGCAGTTGTGTCTTCCCGACATCGAGCTCCTTTCAGTATCTGTCAGGCCTTTTACTTACCGAGGGAATTCCCTCAAATTTTTGTCACTGTTGTTTACATTCATCCTAAAGCAGACGTTAAAGTTGCTGCCAACGCCACAATCTGCAAACTCTCTCCAGATGCTCCTAATTTTACTCTTGGTGATTTTAACAATTGTAATCTTAAGAAATCACTGAACAATTTCTTACAATATGTCACTTGTCCTTCAAGGCATAATAAAACGCTGGATTTGTGTTATGGACCAATTAAGGGGGCATACAAGTCTGTGGCCGGACCTGCGCTAGGTTCTTCAGATCACAATGTTGTTCACCTCCTCCCTGCTTACAGATCTGTGATTAGGAGGGAGAAGGCCTGTGTGAAGCAGACTAATGTCTGGACAGAAGACAGTTGTGTTGCCTTTCAGGGGTGTTTTGATTGCACTGACTGATCCTTCTTTCAAGAGAGCACTTCTGATTTGGATGAACTCACTGATGTGGTGTGTAGCTACATCTCTTTTTGCAAAGACTCTGTGGTTCCAGTCAGAGAATTTAAGACTTTCCCTAATAACAAACTGTGGCTCTCTAAAGATATTAAGGATCTGATTCTTAAAGGGAAAATTGCTTTTAACAAGGGCGACGTTCCCACTATGAGAATATTGAGGAAGGAGGTGAGGGCTGCAATAAAGATCGCCAAGATGAGGTACAGAAATAAGATTGAGGCAGAACTCAGCAGTAACAACTTCAAAAGAGATTGGCTGGTGTGAAAACAATGACAGGGCTACAGACTTAAGGTAAAAGTAATATTACTCTAGAGCGGTTTACCTCTGACAAACATCTGGCAGACAGTCTTAACAGTTTTTACCTGCGTTTTGAGAATCTCGACTGTTCTAGGCAGACCAGCACACTGAGGGAAAAGACTATCACTCCCCAGTTATTTTATATTAATGAGAGGGGGGTAGCTAATCTCTTTAGACACACGAAAAGCAAGAGTCCTGGACCTGACAATGTCTGTGGACAGGTACTGAGAACCTGTGCTGATCAGCTGAGTGGGAGTTTTCATCACATTTTCTCACTTTCTTTAGAGCTACAGACTGTACCTAAGATTTGGAAATATGCTGTCATTGTTCCTGTTGCTAAGGGCAGTTCTCCTAAGGCACTGAATGATTTTAGGCCTGTGGCTCTGACTTCTTTAGTGATGAAGTCATTTGAGAAGATAATTAAAAAGGAGATTTTAATGCATGTTGAACACCATCTTGACCCCTTCCAATTCACCTGTAGAGCAGGGAGAGGTGTGGAGGATGCTGTTGTCTCACTCCTGCATCTCTTGTATAAGCATCTTGAGGCCCCCCACACCCATGCAAGATTATTATTTGCTGACTTTCCATCGGCATTCAATACAATTCAACCCTTCTTACTTGCTGACAGGCTCTACAATCATTTCAAGCTTGACACTAGTCTGGTCGGCTGGGTGACAGACTTTCTGATCAATAGGTCACAATGTGTGAGGGTGAATCATGTGATTCCTGATGTGCTCTCCTCCTCTACTGGATCACGACACAGTGATCGTCAGTCACTGACTGACTCGTCCCCCAGATGATGTGGATTAGTGTGATCAGTCCTTCCTTTCACTAAATGTTTCAAAAACTAAAAACATGATTATTGATTTTAGGAAGTCATGTTATAGCTCATCACCTACTATCATTCAAGCTGCTGAAATCGGGATTGCTGAGAGTTACAAATATCTAGGTGTGGTACTTGATCATAAACTGTTTTGAATCTCATGCTGATGCCACTATTAAAAAAGTTCAACCAAGACTGTTCATTTTAAGGAAAATGAAATCTTTTAATGTCTCATCTGAGATGTTGTCGTTGTTTTATAGACGTTTTATCGAATCTGTGATGTCTTTTTGTATCGCTGCCTGGTTTGGTAACCTGACAGTGAAGAATAAGAATCGGTTGGGTCTTTTGAAAAAACTGCTAGCAAAATTTCAGGGCGCTGGCAAGATGGACTTTTGGCCATTTACAATAAAAATGTGCTTAGAAAGGCTCATTCTATTGTTAATTATTCCAACCATCCACTTCACAGTGAGTTTGAGTTGGTACAGTGAGTAGCTCTGAGGAAGACCAAAAGACTCCAGGTTTCTTTTATCCCTACTGCATCCTGTCTCCTAAATGGCATAGAACCGTTCTGGGATTTTCTATTACTATTATTGTCATTTTATATTATTGTTTTGCTTACTTTTATCCTGTTGCTAAACTAATTTCCTTTTTGGGACAATAAAGAATTTGATTTGAATTGAATTGAATGTCATGTGACACTCCCACAAACAAAATCACAGTTTAGTAACACAGCAACTCAGTGTGCTTACTGGAAAGTAACAGTATCTAATTACTTTATTTTTGCAATAGTAATCCCTTACTTTATTCATTACTTGAAAAAACTAATCAGATTACGTGTTATTGCCCATCTCTGATGGTGAAATACTGTGCAAATATACACCAGTACAAATGCACACCCACACACAGAAAGTGCATAGCAGATGTATTTGAGCTGGATACCCGGAACCTTATTTTTTCCTCTATCACACTGCCTCAGCTCGCAGTGCCAGAAGTCAATAAAGCTCAAAAGAACAGGCACTTTGGCCCAGCCTCTGTGTCCAAGTACACAAAAGTTCCTCTTCAGAAGAAAAATAGACAACACCGGTTCCTGTCATACATCACAAGGGGCATTTAGGGGAATTGCAGAGTGTTTCCTCAAGCTTAATTAAAATGCACAGCCCCTTCCTGTGCTCCTGTATTTAACCTTGACTTGCTCACTTCTCACTTGGCTTGATAAAAAGAATATCAGGGTGCTCAAACGTGCAGGGAAGTACACACACAGACACACACAATGTATGTATGCTAGGACCATCCAAGCCAGGCCTTACAGTGGCCATAAGTTCATTAGCATCCCTTACATCTGCCTCTAATACTCTCAGTGCTTAAGAACATTCACCAGCACACAAACATACACGCACATGTGTGTGTGTGTGTGTGTGTCTGTGCATGAAGCTGATTTGTTGTAGAAGCTGGCATCCTGCAGCCTGCTGGTGACACTCTGGGTGTTTATGTGTGAGACGGGGGGTAAGCAGAGAGTTATTTGTTGCACAAGCAAAATTTATAACACAATGACACAAAGCAATAACATGATTGCAACACAACTCAAAATACTGATTGCAATCAAATATGCAATTCATTAAAAATGACTCTCCGACGATTTATGGTTAGATTTATGTTTTCAAAGGTCATCCTTAGAAAGACAAAGAAAGACAGAAAGAAAGACCTTTAACAAACGCATTTATTCAAATCACAATTCAATAATACAAACACTCACAAAGTCAAAGGAAAAATCACAAAAACACCACCCAAAAACCCCACACACTTCGATGAACGTGTAGTTATCAAAACAAATACAATAATAATAATAATAATAATAATTATAATACTCTAAAAATGCAAAACAAGTGCACCATCCTTCCTCAATGAACATAAAAATTTCGAATACACCACAAATCTGTAAACATCTGTAGATTACAAGTAACTCTATAAAAAGCATGCTCCACTTTCAATCTCGATGCGACTAACCCCTTAAAACTAAGTGCTGCATCATTCCTACCCTGTCAAAGCATTTTATTCTTCCTTGTTTTCCAAATTGCTAACTCAGCCATTCCAAGAAGGAAATTAATTAAGACATGAGTCTTCTTTTTCAAAGCTCTGTACTTAAGACTAAAAACAAAAACAGCCATAAAAAAACGCTCACCGAGGGCTTCCACCCATTCCTGCAATAAACTAAACAGGCTTTTTAACCTCACACAGGACAAAAACAAGTGTTCCAGCGACTCCTGTTTTTCACAAAAAAAAAAAAAAAGCACCCCTTGTAGTCGGGTCAAAGTGAGCTCTGTGTCTGTTCATAGCTATCAATCCATGTATATTCCTACACTGGAGGTCACCAACCTGCTTCTCAACAGGTGGCTTATACAGGACCCTCCATCTGCCCTTTGGGGCAAGGTCTGAATCAAAAATCTGTGTCCACCTTGACTCCCTGACCCCTGCTAGAGAGCACAAGTTCAGCACCTGGACACAACTTTGATACAAGTGCTTCTTCCCACATGAACTGAGAATACCCAACAGTTCAGCAGTTCATTCTCCTCATGCCAGCCATCAAAAGCTGATGCAGCTGAAAGTACTGGAAATACGTGCTCATATTCATTATGCCACTGGTCCGCTAGATCGCAGTTTTCAGCAAATACTTTCAGTGACACGGGTAAGGACTCCCAGACCTCTTCCAGGATCCTCTTTAAGATTCTGGTGGACTTAATGTTAGTGAGATCGAATATCCTTCCTATCGATAGTCTTGCGAGGTGACCCAGTTTCAAAATCCCAGCTTGAATGAACTTGGTCCTTATTGTAGGTAATAACAGCAAACAATCCCATACAAAAAAGTCATTGTGAAACAATGGTTCCTCAAAAAGCCACAGGCCAGGTCTAGGTCAGGATCACAGAAAATCATCAGCGTTTTCCAAGCATCCAACACTGAATGATAAAAAGGTGGTAAACCCATCATATCAAGCTCTGCTGTTTTAAGCAAAAACAGATGCTTATCCAGTCCAGGATATCTAGCTTTCTGGAGAAGCAGCCGAGCCAAGAGAAGCCATCAGTAGCTACGTCCATAAAGCATCTTAAGAGTGATTTGTAACCTGAAGGCAGTGGTCATGATAGCCATTATATCCACAAGTCCTTGACCTCCCTCTGACATGGGAAGAAAGAGAACAGATGCAGATAATGAAACTAGATTCAGTGATCCGAATCATTGGTATTCTCTGGTCTTCATGTGGTTTGTCTCAACAGACAATACAAATGCCAAGTTCTGGACAGTCAGTTGCCCAGAGTGTGTACAGAGTGTAATTTATTTTCTCAGCATTTCTCAAATGTTTTTAAATACAGCTTCATCTTTGAATTAAAACTCAGTGTAGAAGCCTACATGCAGTTTAATTTGAAATGTATGCTTTTATTTTGATAGTGCAGAAAAAACAGGAAGTTGGGCGAGAGGAGAGTGGAGCCACATGGTTTTTTGACCTCGCAATCTCTCTTCATCCATTTTGAATTGAGCTTTATAAGTTTTCGTAATTTGGAATTCTGTTGCTGTGTACCTGTTTGGACTTTTGAAGTAAATATTGAGAAACTATCAAGGACTGTTGTTTTGTTTTTTGGTTTTTTGGATATGGAAAGAGGGACTAAGCGGAGCGTCAAGCTAAGGCTCCATTCGAAGGAAACCTACATTAGTCAAAAAACCAGCTCTTCACAGATTAATGGAGTTTGAAAACACCTGATTATAAAGTAAGAAGGAAATACCGAACTGAGGAAAAACTGAAGATGGAAAACCGTAAGTTTTAAATTGCCTTGCCCTTTTTTGATTTGCTGAGGTGCATGTGTATTGATTGAGTTTGTAATTTTGCTGCCCATGGACGAACAAAACAGTGGAAAAAGGATTGTAAAAATGACTCAGAAGGTTATGGAAGACTGCAAGACTAGAAATGTCAACACACGTAGACATAAGCTCTCTCAATTAACAGGCATGAAAAAAGAAATTGAGCAATTAATGGAAGATGATGCAAATGTTGACCTCGTTAAAAATAAATTACGAGTTGACTTTAGCTCTTTGCAGCAAGACTTTGCTAGCCTAAATTCTGAACTGCAACAACTTATGAGTGAAGATGAATTTTTGGAAGATAAAAATAGTTGGTTTGATCCAAAGAACAAGTCCCTGAATGATTTCTTTTGGAAATGTGAAGGGTGGATGAATGAAGTCATGAAACGCTCTGAACAGAACAGAGAGGACGGCATAGGAAAGCAGGCAGATAATAGGTCCATATCATCAAGTCGGCAAGCAAACGCTCCAGTAGATCTGGATCACAACCTTTCCTCTACATCTTCCTCTATTAGATTAAAGGTAGAAATGGAGCGTGCTGCATTAAAGGCAAAGGCTGCAGCTCTGGAGAAGAGTTTGGCAATAGAAAAGGAAGAAGCGGATTGGTATGCAGAAATGAAAGGAAAAGAAGCTCAATTGCAGGCGGAAGAAAAACAAAGAGAGGCTGCAATAAAGGCTAAAAAGGAAATGCATGCTATGCAGACTGCCCTTGCTGAGTCAGATGCAAAACTGGAAGTTTTGCAAAAATATGAAGATACACAGCCAGACATGAGCATTTTTGCAGATGATGATCAGAATGGCAAAACTGAGATTAAAACCACATTCCACCCAACATCGCAATACGTCTCATCTGCACCCTACGATGACGACGATGTGCAGACACCAATGCAAGAAAGGACAGTGCCTGCGCCAAGCACTGAAAGGGCTGGTGAACCTGTGCTCGATAGTTTGTGTCAAGCCATTTCTCAGCAAGTTAATGTCACTAAGTACCTGGTAAAGAATCACAAAGCTTCTCTATTACCTGACATCTCCATTCCAACTTTCAACGGAGATCCACTTGAATACAACTCTTTTATCGGTTCCATTGAACATGGAATTGAAAACCGCACTGATAATAATCGTGATCGTCTACAGTATTTGCTGCAGTACACGAGTGGACAGCCCCATGAGTTGGTTAAAAGTTGCATCCACATGGAACCTTCAGTGGGTTATACAAAGCCGAAACAAATGCTCAAAGAGTTTTTTGGAGATGACTTTAAGATAGCTGAAGCCTACATAAAGGAGGCCTTGGATTGGCAGACAATTAAGCCAGAAGACGGCACTGCACTACAGTCCTTTGCATTGTTTCTTACCGGCTGCTACAATGCAATGACAGATGTTAACTACATGGAAGACTTGGATAATACGTCTAACCTAAGGGCATTAGCTAACAAGCTTCCTTACAAACTTAAAGAATCGTGGCGAAAATATGCTTGTGACCTGCAAGACAAAACGAAGAAAAGAGTCAAGTTTAAGGATTTTGTCAACTTTATCAATCAGCAAGTTAGGTACGTGCTACACCCACTTTATGGAAATATAAGGGAAACTACAACAGGTGTGAAGGACTCATTCAGGCAAAGAGCAAAGCCACAATATGCAGAGGCATTCAAACCAAAGAAAGTGTTTACAACAGCAATCACTGACCCTCAAATGGAAAACAAGACATAAAGTGCCAAACAAGTGGCATCAAAACCACGGACTGTCCCAGTGGATTCAAGCAGCAAGCCTTGTGTTTATTGCAAGGGAGAGCAACACAACCTCCAAATCTGCAGAAAGCTCAAGGACAAGCCTCATAAGGACAAGATTGAGTTTTTAAGGAGCTTAGGACTGTGTTTTGCCTGTTTGAAACATGGTCACATGAGTAGCAGTTGCAAAGACAAGCTCCATTGTCAAGAATGCTCTCGACTGCATCCTACCCTGCTGCACATCACCAATAGGGACTCACAAGAAGAAACAGCAAGGGGGCGGCTCAACAGTTCGTATCAAGTGCTCTTGTACAAACAACAGCAACTTTCAGCATGACTGGGGCCGGTAAGGAAGATGGGAAATGAATCTGTTGTGAACACCTGCATTGTGACTGGACTGGAAGTCAGTAGTCTCGATGGTAGCCAGTTTATTAAACTTTCAGAGGTGTATGCACAAGACCACATTCCTGTAAGTAAAAACAATATCCCATGCCAGGAGGATGTTGACAGGTGGTCACACCTGACGGAAGTGAAACTTCCCACTATCCAAGTGGATGTTGGATTACTCATAGGAGTGAATGTTCCCAAAGCCATGGAACCGCTTAAGGTGGTAAACAGCGTGGACAATGGACCCTACGCAGTGAGAACAATATTAGGTTGGACAGTAAATGGACCACTTAGGAGTGGAGGCGACATGAGTGGGAGAAACAGATTGGCACAAGTGACTGTGAATAGGATATCAGTAGCCAGGTTGGAAGAGCTCTGGCAGCTACAGTTTAAGCAGGACTTTCCTGATGCGGGACAAGACGAAAATCTTGAAATGTCCAAGGAAGATCGTCAGTTTCTGAACATGGTGTCTCAGTCTGCAAAACTGGAGGATGGCCATTATAGTATTTGTCTTCCAGTGAGAAGCAAGGCGCTGTGCTTGCCAAGCAACAGAGAAGTCGCAGTGCAACGTGCGCTGAACTTACAGAAAAGATTCACCAGAGATGTCAAGTTTTACGAGGAATATGTTGCAAATATGGATGATATCCTAAAAAAGGGTTACGCGATCAAACTGAACGATGCTGAATGTAAGTCACTGGAGGGACGAACATGGTATTTGCCTCATCATGGAGTGAGACATCCAGTCAAGCAAAAGTTACGTGTTGTCTTCGACTGTGGGGCAAGCTTTCAAGGAACATCGCTGAACCAGCATCTCTTGCAGGGACCGGATTTGACAAGCTCACTGGTGGGAGTCCTCCTGAGGTTTCGACAGGAGACTGTGGCAGTAATGGCTGACGTGGAGGCCATGTTCCACCAGGTCAGAGTCAGCAAGGAAGATACAGATCTCCTCAGGTTTCTTTGGTGGTCTGATGGGAATTACAAGGAGAAGCTTGCAGAACACAAAATGTTGGTCCACATCTTTGGTGCCACCTCTTCGCCAAGTGTTGCATCTTTTGCACTTCAGAAATGCGCTACTGATTTCGAAGGGAATTTGGTCAAGAAGCTGCAAGGACAGTCAAGAAAAATTTTTATGTGGACGACTGTCTTAAGTCAATTGCAGAGGAAGACGCAGCAATCACCCTGTGTACTGACTTGAGGAACATGTTGGCAAAAGGCGGATTTCGACTAACAAAATGGTCAAGCAACAGCAGAAAGTTGCTCAACTCAATTCCTGATGAAGAAAGAGCACAAGGATTTAAAGTTCTGAATCTGGACGAGAGTAATTTGCCGATGGAAAAAGCATTGGGAATTCAGTGGTGCGCTGAATCAGATCAGTTCAAGTTCAAGATCAACCTTAAAAACAGACCGAACACTAGAAGAGGACTGCTTTCCCTTCTCAGCTCCATCTTTGATCCACTGGGATTTGTTGCTCCGGTGATTCTGTGTGCAAAAAAAAATCTTGCACGATTTATGTCGGAGGAAATACGGCTGGGATGAATCCCTACCAGAGGATGTCATTAAGAGCTGGAATAAGTGGGTTGCAGATTTGCAAAGGCTTGACGACTTTGGAGTTGACAGGAGCATCAAGTCAAAGCATTTTGGTGCACCAGTCTTTGCGCAGCTGCATCATTTTGCTGATGCAAGCGAAGACGCTTATGGAACAGCAAGCTACCTGTTGCTGCACAATGCAAGTGGCGAGACTCAGTCCACCTTGGTAATGGCAAAGGCAAGGGTTGCACCTTTGAAGTGTCCAACCATCCCACGAATGGAACTGATTCCCGCAACAGTTGCAGTGAAGATGGATAAACTTCTAAAGAAGGAACTAGAAGTAGAACTGCATGAATCTGTTTTTTGGACAGATAGCACGGCTGTGCTAAAGTACTTGAATAGTGAAGGTACAAGATTCAAGACCTTTGTTTCTAATAGGATCTCAGTAATCTTGAGCTATTCTCACATTCAGCAGTGGAGATATGTCAATACCACTTTGAATCCAGCAGATCATGTCTCTAGAGGACAGACTGTTGCAGCATTCTTAAAATGTGGCGATTGGCTTTCGGGTCCAAGTTTCCTATTCTGCTCAGAAGATCAGTGGCCGAAGAATCCAGATCCCAGAATGCTGGATTTTGATGACTTAGAGGTCAAAAGAGAAGCTCAGACACATGTCATTCAGATGCAAGGGCTCAAAGTCTCAGTAGACCAGCTGATGAATCACTACTCATCTTGGACAAAGCTAAAGCGTGCTGTAGCCTGGTTCATGAAACTGAAGAGTTTGCTTAAGGAATTAATAGCAAAGAGAAAGGAAGCAAGCACAATGAGTGAGGAAATCAGGATGAGCCAATTCAAGAAAGCTTTCAAGGGAAAAAATCTAACCTGTGACGATTTGTCTGAAGCAGAAATGGAAATTGTGAAGTACTGTCAGAAGCAAAGTTTTGAACAGGACTTGGCAATGCTGAAAGAACATCAAAGGGTGAAGAAAAAAGGCTCTCTCTACAAGTTGACTCCAGTACTGCAAGATGGAGTCATAAGAGTTGGAGGAAGGTTGAGTCGAGCAGCAATGCCAGATGATGCTAAGCAGCAAGTCATCTTGCCAAAGGACTCACATATCACACAGCTTGTGTTAAGACATACCCATGATGTTACAGCTCACGCCGGACGGAATCACATGTTGGCTCATCTGCGTCAAAAATTTTGGATCCCTGGAGCAAATGGAGCCATTAGAAGGTTCTTGTCAAAATGTGTCACCTGTAAAAGGCTACACGGAAGTGCTGGCAAACAAATAATGGCAGATTTACCAAAATGCAGGATCCTGCCTGATGACCCTCCGTTCACCAAAGTAGGTGTTGACTACTTTGGTCCATTCCTGGTAAAAAGGGGAAGAAGTCAAGTAAAGAGATATGGTGTCATTTTCACATGTCTTACCACACGAGCTGTACATCTGGAGGTTGCATCTTCACTTGACACTGATGCGTGTCTCAACGCCATCAGAAGATTCCTTGCCAGAAGAGGACAAGTTAAAGAGATGTACTCGGATAATGGAACCAACTTCCGATCAGCTAACAGTGAGTTAAAGAAAGCAATTAAAGAATGGAACTCCAGTATGATCATAAAATCATTGCAGCAAAGGGGGATCCAATGGCATTTTAATCCACCAGCAGGATCTCACCATGGAGGAAGCTGGGAGAGACTCATCCGCTCAGTGAGAAAAATTTTGAACGTCACAGTAAAAGAACAACTGTTGGATGAAGAAGGTCTCCACACCTTGCTGTGTGAAGCTGAGGCTATTATAAACAGCAGGCCTATTACAAAGGAATCTTCAGATCCCAATGACCTGGAGGCTTTAACACCCAACCATCTCCTGTTGCTGAAGGTTAAGCCAGAATTACCCCCAGGAATCTTCAACAAGGATGCCCAGTATGTAAATCGCAGGTGGAGACAAATCCAATATCTTGCAGACATTTTTTGGAAACGCTGGTGCAAGGAATACCTCATGCAGCTCCAAGAGCGTCAACGATGGACTACACCTAAGAGAAATTTCCATGTTGGTGATGTTGTGCTGATCGTAGATGACACAGCACCCAGAAATTCATGGCCACTAGGAAGAATCGTAGAGACCTTTCCAGACCAGAAAGGTCTGGTGCGTCAGGTGAAAGTAAAGACCAAGACCAATGAGCTTTGCCGACCAGTTACAAAGCTGTGCCTTTTGCAAGAAGCTGAAGATAATTGATGCACTCTTCGAAAGTCAAGAACTAGTTTCCTCTGAGGGGAGGAAAGTGAAAGAAGATTTCTTTAAGATAGTTGAAGTTCAATTAAGTAATGTAGCCATAGACCTTTTCATTTAAGTTAAAGATTTTGGAGTAATTGTTTCAAAGCCATTGATAACAATTAGGGGCCGGTAATGTAGAAGCCTACATGCAGTTTAATTTGAAATGTATGCTTTTATTTTGATAGTGCAGAAAAAACAGGAAGTTGGGCGAGAGGAGAGTGGAGCCACATGGTTTTTTGACCTCGCAATCTCTCTTCATCCATTTTGAATTGAGCTTTATAAGTTTTCGTAATTTGGAATTCTGTTGCTGTGTACCTGTTTGGACTTTTGAAGTAAATATTGAGAAACTATCAAGGACTGTTGTTTTGTTTTTTGGTTTTTTGGATATGGAAAGAGGGACTAAGCGGAGCGTCAAGCTAAGGCTCCATTCGAAGGAAACCTACACTCAGCTTGAAACCATGGCTTTCACTCGAACACCCGAAACAACCTCCAAAGAAAGGAAGACAAGCACTCATCAGCCCTGGTGGCCTAATGGATAAGGCACTGGCCTCCTAAGCCAGGGATTGTGGATTCGAGTCCCATTTAGGGTGCAGTCCAGCAGCAGAGTGGCGCAGCGGAAGCATGCTGGGCGCATAACCAAGAGGTCAATAGATCGAAACCATCCTCTGCTATGTTTTTTGGATGGCCAGATTCTCTGAACTGTGTCCAATAACAGATGACAGTCAGGACCTGCTCCCCAAAAACGTAGACCATGAACCCTGTAGTACAAGCGCCGAGTGAGTCAGTCGAATACTATAACGGCCCCCGATCACCGAGGGCGACTCCCTATCTGTACATAGCATAGCACAGAGGCTTCCAACTCCAGTCCTGAAGAGCTACTTTTCTTTAGCTTTTAGATGCATCCTTGCTGGAACACAGCTGAATCAAATGAATGGCGGGTTATCAGGCCTTTGCCAAACTTGATGCCATGCTGAAAAGGTAATTCAAGCATTTGATTCAGCTGTGTTTGAGCACGCCACATGTGCTCCTTCTACTCCCCCTCTTTTAATGGAACTAGATTCAGTGATTAAAATTGTTGGTACTCTCTGGTATTTTTTTTTATTTTTTTGTACATCTGTCTATATATTTCTCATAACAAACATAATATATATATTTTGAGCTCTATTTTGGTTTCCTGTGTTTTATTCACACACTCAGGCTCCATAGTCGAAACTACTTCTGATTGCTCATTTTCTATGAAGCTGCAGTCAGGCGCCCTGGTCCTTTACCGGGTTACAAGGTGGTTTCACAAGTGTCAACAGACAACATAAATGGCCCCAAATAAAGCCAATGCTGCCCAGACCAGAAAAAATCCACAATGAAACACTGAACATCTTTAACCAGCCTAGCAGGTGGAACCAACACCACAAGCTTGTGCCACAGGGACGAGGCAAACAGATTACTGGCATTCAGAGCCCTACGCCTATATCACAGCTGGGGTAGCAACCATGTCCAATTAGACAACTTTGACTTAACTTCTTCCCGTATGCCCTCCCACTTCTTTTTCTGAAATTTTTCATTACCTATAAAAAGTCCCAGTGTCTTAATACCATTCCTTCCTCAGCACAAATTTCCTGGCAGGGTTGGACTGTTCTCTACGCATCATTTACCCACCAATAAGGCCTCGCTTTTGTCCCAGATAACTTTGGCCAAAGAAGCCTTTTCATACATAGTTAAACTTTCACTCAGTTCATTCACATCATGTTGATTACTAATAAAGATATTAACATCATCAGCATAAGCAGAAACAACTACCGAAGAACTGTGACCCATACCCAGTAGGGTAAGACCTTTTAATTTTGCTCTCAATCTAAATAAAAGAGGTTCAGTTGCTAAACAATACAGCTGACCTGTGTTAAGGTTCAAAATATTGGGGATGGAGACAAGAGAAAAACCACAATAACAACACTGGTCCGGTCGGGTTGAGTCAAACGATGATTTAATGATCACACACGTGGGAGATGGACACTGATGCAGACAGCCTCAAATCTCAAAGTGGTGGAGCATTGCTCAAACTCTTATAGCCTCTGGTTCTCCCATCTTATCATAAAAGCCTAAACATTCACATTCTTTCTCTCACACGGCGCCTAAGCTACGACCTTGGCTCCCTGTTTATCTGCTCGTGCTGAGATGGGGCAGAAAACTCCAGCATGTTCTATTCTCTTCTAATCAGACAAATAAGGCGATGACTTTCTGCGAACAGTATTCCTTATAACTCAACAGTATAATGCATCATAAACAATATCATTCATTCACAATAAATCAGCAGTCTAATGCAATGCAAATCAGTTTAAATACTGCAATAATTATCACCTTCTTCTAATTCAGGAGAATAATGCCAACTTAAACTACATAATAATTCACAATCTTTATTTCGGGGTCTAACATGGCATAAAATAATATCATAATTTTACACCTGAAATGGGACAACCCTGCCTAATGAACTGATACAGGGTTACTCAACCCACCTGCCACCTTCACTACACAACTAGCATAGGCATAAAGTAATTTCACCCAAGAAAGAAAAACATTTCCCACACCAAATGCTTGCAAGGTTGAAAAAAGAAAAGTATGATCTACAAGATCAAAAACCTTCTCCTGATCAATAGAGATAATCCCCACGTTTAGGTCATACTGTATGTCTCACAGACAGCAAAATCATCTCTCATAAGAAATAAGTTGTCTAACAGATCTGTCTGGAACACAGTATGACTGATCCACTGGAAATGGGGAGGTCAATAAAATTTTTCAGTCTATTGGATAACACCTTTGAAAGAATGTTATAGTCTGTACATAAAAGAGTCACTGGTCTCCAGATTTTGTAACAAGGCAAGGTCCCCCTTTATAGGCAGCAGAGAGAGTTTAGTTGCCAAATCACCCTCCTAATGTTGTCAGTGGATTTATAAGTATATTGCTGGCAGAAACTCCTGATTTCAGCTTTCCCTACCTCCCACCACCCAATCAGAGATTGAAACTCATGCTTCTTTGATCTCCAGAAAGCCCAAAACAATTTAAAATTTTCACAAAAATTAAACAGTTTAGTGTTAAAATGCCAAAAAGATATCTGTGTCCCTGTAAAAGTAAGAACCGAATCCATTAAAATCATGTGGTGATCTGTAAACCCACAATTCACGACATGAGTGCTACAAGATCCAGACAGATAAAACCTGTCTAACCTGGCTGCGTGGCATCTACCTTCAGCTATTCTGACCCAGGTAAACTATCTACTCATTGGATTATTTCTTAATACACATTAATAAAATGAATGACAACACCCTGAATTTCTGCCCTTACTTGTAAAATCCTGCCATTAATATATTCAACACTTCCCAAAATTTGGATGTACAGAGTTGGCGAAAATAAGATACCGACCACTGCACAGCAATTAATTCCATGACTAAATATGCATTGCCCCATCCAGCCTAACCCCCATTCTGTTTCAATAACATTATCACTATGGGTTTCTTGTAAAAAAAAAAAGATCTAGCTTCTTCTGTTTGTGTCATGGTTCTCAAGATCTGGAGAGGTCGTGGTGTGTGTGTTTTTTGTCTTCGCCTCTCCCACCAGGGCGGAACTGGACCTTGATTCCCCGCCTCTGAACCCGCCCTGAACACGCACCTGTGGCTCATTCACACTGATCCTGGCAGACTACTTAAGATGGCAAGAGAGGCTGCTTCCTCGCTGGATTGTCACATTACCTAGCGTCAGCCTAGCCTTTGGAAGTATTCCTTGTGATCACCTAGAGTTTCCTCCTAACATTGTTTTTCTCTGTGTACAGGACTTCTAGATTCCCTGCCGTCTGGATTTCTGTGGATGTGTGTGAGTGAGCGTGAGCATTTTGGAGTGGACATTCAGAGTGAGTTGTGGATTAAGTTGAAGATGTACCTCGCCTTGGACCTTCCCCTCGGACCCCACTCCACCCCCTGGAGCCCCGTGTTATCTGTCTCACTGTATATATGTAGATATTCTCACTTGGCGCCACACTGTAAATAAACCCTCACCGTCTCTCTAAACTTCAGACTGCTGCGAGTGAGTCCTCTGCCTAATAATCTGTGACAGTTTGATTTATATTCAAAGAGGCCACCTTTAGATTTTCCATTTTCGGAGAAGGTAGAAAAGCAGCGAAGAAGAAAAAGTATATAAGAAACACAGAGTGATGGCTGACCATCTTGCGATTAATAAAGATTTTACTTTTTCCTCAAATGAGTTTTACCTGCTCTTTTCCCCTGTCTTAAATTAGTAACATGGTTACTTAAATGATATCACTTCTTCTCGTCCAGGAGATCCACACCAACAACTTTCTGTATTGTCGTCACAAACTGAATAAACTTGTCAACCTCAGGAAAATAGTCCGTTACCTTCTCTCGTGCTCTCGGCGAAGGCAGTCGCACTTTTCTCCTCCTCCTCCTCTGCCTTAGCTTCCCTGCTTAGCCTCTTGTGTCCTTGTCTAGTCTCATGTTTTTTGTATTACTTTTCCCTGGAACACTCTCTCACAGTCTGTTCTCTAAAACCTAAAAGAGGAATTATGGATTTGATCAACTGGTCCCTGAATGCAATTGACACCCTTTTCTCAACGAGAAGTCTGGGCTCGGGTGAGCCTGACTGCTGAAGATATCTACCTATTCGGAACCATGATAACAGGGTTATTGCTGATTGAGGCTGGCTTGGCCCTGGCTTGTCGAAGAATTAAGAAAGCAGAACCGGCTGTTCAAACCCCCACAAGGCTGCCTGCTGGGATTGAAACAATGGGACGAGGCGTGAGTTTCTGAAAAGGGGCTCATTGAGTGCAGCACGGATAAGATCTTGGAGAAGCTTACGGCTGCCGTGAATACTCAGAACAAGACCTCTGAGTGCAAACTCGATCACATCTTGGAGAAGCTCACTGCGCTCGTGAGTTCTCAGAATCGGCTCTTTGAGCACAAGAATGACAACATCACGGAACGTAAGTTTGGATAACATCATGGAGAAGCTCATGGCTCTTGTTAAGGTTCACATAATTGAGGAAGGCGAGTACAAACAACCAGGTCCAGAAGATCTTGGTTAACCAATTGATTTTAATGAATACACGCGTGGGAAGACCAGTCTGTACGCAGACAGGAATTGATCTTCGACTTAATCAAAGCATACACAGATTTTTATAGCATCAGGGTTTGAATTAATGACGCCCCTTCATACGTCACAGACAGAATATATACATACGTCAAATCAAAACCACAATGACTTTTAACACAGTTTAAAGAACGTTGTCTTCTATCTTCATGGCCGGTACTTCCTGTCACTGCCGGATGCTCTCTTGTCATCTTGACACCTCAGCAGCAGTTCTGCGACAAACTGCTCTTTTTGCAACCCCAAGCAAAACATGATTAAACTTCCACCTATAAATGATTCTCTCTAACTGAGTGTGTGTGTGTGTGTGTGTGTGTGTGTGTGTGTGTGTGTGTGTGTGTGTGTGTGTGTGTGTGTGTGTGTGTGTGTGTGTGTGTGTGTGTTGACCTTAAATGCTCTCTCATCTCACCCGTTGCACTTCTGACCTTTTACCAGACCAGAGGCTCATCCTTATGTGTAATAACCGAACTGAAACTACATGTACTATGTTGAATAAATGTTTTAATCAAGAACCTCTACTAAGAGCTTAATAAAAGAATATAAAAGTATAACAGACAATTTGAATAACCTAGTAATTCAAATAGCCTCGTCTAACCTGCTTCTCAGAATAACTTAGACTCTGCTTTCACTTCTGCTTTCACTTCTGCAAACTCTCTGCAACTTAGTCTTTCTGAAAGACACACACACTGTTTAAACCTCCGAATGCAATATCAATGCTGCAGATTATATTATTAATGCAATGGTAATGATGATGATTATTTACCAATAGCAGTAAAATAATTTCCCTGCTCCACACTCTCCAACGGGAGATTGAGAGACCAGTGTTGGACTGTTAGAACAGCTTTGAAATTCATATGAGTTGTTTGCGCTAAAGTAAAAACCACCATCACTTCTTGCGGATACCCCTTCGGCGCCAGCTGCGGTCTCAAGGCTGGAGCTGAACAACAACACCCTGATAACGACTGTGTTTAGACTGTTCTTCCCATTCTATGCAAGGCCACCTGGGTTGGCTGGAAGACTGTTTACTTAGCCTGGCAGGGAGGAGGACACTGTCTCAGCTGAACTCTGGACACACACACACGCACACAGACATATATACACATGCAGATGTACACTCATCCCCCCTCCCCCTCCAAACGCCCTCGACGCTTATTCCCCTCTGATACTGACAGTGGATCAAGGAGGGGACACATCCAGACCAGCGCAGGTCCGGATGTGTCTACATTGGCTGTCTCTCACCCTTTACCCACCCCTGTTGCTTGTCATGTGTTTCTTTGGTGTATTAAGAGTTTTTTCATGTGCAGAGGTGTTTTTTTCTGTTCTCAAACTGATCTCCCTGGTGGAGCTCAGTCTGGGGGGAGTTATTTTTTTCTCCTTATCTTTCCTCATGTTGTGCTTTTTCCATGTTATACCCCTCTGACCGGAAGGGTAAGATGGCGCTGGTACGGCTGGCAGCCTTAACCCAATTTCACTTGGGATGAATAAAGTATGATCAATCAATCAATCAATCAAACTGATCTCCCATAACTGTCGTCCAAGAATGAGTTAATTTCTTCTAAAGAGTACAAATTTTCAGTTTGGGAAACACTTTCTGCAACAGAGAAACAATCAGAATCCGATTCATAATCGCACTCCATGTTTGCCACACTGTCACCATTGCAACCAGCCTGCATCGTAGATTCTCCCTCTACCTTTCTCCCCAATCCAACCTGTTCAGTTTCTTCCACAGTCTCACAATCATCTTGTAAGTTTTCCTGACTCATTTGGGACCCCATTATAGCCACTGAAACTAGCCCGCCTTTGCTGTCAGTACTCTTGCTGACAGGGACTAGAAAGAGAGAGCAGATTTCTCCTGTTTTGGCTTCCCTTCATTGGCTTCCTGTTAAATCCAAAATTGAATTCAAAATCCTGCTCCTCACATACAAGGTCTTAAATAATCA